GCAGCCGCCACCGAAGGAGCCGGAACCACAGCGGGCAGGACCTGGGCGCCCCTCGCCGGGGCAACGGCTGCCGCCGGAGCCCGGCTCCCCCCAGCGCCGCTCCACCTGCAACGGTCCCTCAGGCTTTTGGAGAGGGCGGGGAAGAATGGGGGTCCCCCCCACCTTGGGCCTTTTTTGGTAGTAGTTGTTGTTTCAGGAAACTTTATTAAGTCAGTCTCTCTCTCTCTCTCCGTCTCCCCCTCCCCGAAGAGCCTGAGCTACCGCCGCGGAGCGGGTAGGAAGGGGGAAGCAGAGACTCCCGCAGCGACAGGGAGCGACTGACTGACCCCGGACGGAGATGGGGCGAGGGCAGGAAGTGACAAGCTCTCCGAGTGGGTGGGGGGAGTGTGGCCGGCACGCCCGGGAGCGCCGCGCGCATGCGCCCGGCCGGGCGCCCGGGCCTGTGGGGAGGCTACGCGCCGCGGCCGGGCCAGGCGAGGGAACCTTGGCGGGTGGCCCTCGGGCCGCGGCCGGTGGCCCGGGCCGGCCCCTCGTACGCGCGTCCTCCTGCGGGCCGACGGAGAGCCGAAGCCCCGGGTCGTTTGTGCCCGGGAGACGGACGGGCTGATGGGCGACCAAACTGTTGCTCTCGCTTTTCTCCTTTGAGTGGAACCAAACCTGGGAGGGTTGGAAAAGCACGGGAATGAACTGTAGGGAAAGGTTGGCAAATGGGTGAGCCGTAAGTAGTGGTGACTCCGAAAAGATTGTCAGCACACTTATAAAATGGTAAAAGCCGATTTTTAAAAAAAGAAAAACCAACAGTTTTCGAAGCGTGCCTCCCAGAACTCGGTGGTTTTCATCAGGTCTTTGGGAGGAAAACTAGTGGTGGAGGATCGGCATGGACTGCAGCGGCATTGCGCTTCTGGGACCTGAAGGCGAAGGTGCGTCACATGGGCAGTATGCACCTTCCCTCCTCTTCGGCGCCCGCGTCCTGCTCGGAAAATCCCCGAAGATCGAGGTCGTCTGTCAAATTCCGCAAACCCGTGTGGCCGTCTCTTGGGGCAGGAGAGGCTGCCTCCTCACCGCCCGGAACGGAATTCTGGTTCTCCAAGCAAATACGTGTCCACCGACGGTCGGGAAATTTTAAGGGAGAAAAAAGCCCATTCGCATTGTTAGCTCCTCGCGCCGAAATTGTCGGTTTGCTGGGTCCTGAAAGAGCAGTTTAGCAGTAGGTAGGCTCAGTGTGTATTTTGGAAGAGCAAACTGTGGCTGAAATCTGTTTTCAAAATGCATAGGAAAGTTTGTGGTCGGTCCAGTAATTAATTGATAAACTTGTTATTGTAAAAAAACTGAACGGAGCATCTGCATAGGTCTTGAACGATTGTAGCAGCTTGATTATACGGGTGACAGGAAAAGGAAGGAAAGCGATCCACCTTTTTAAAGGAATTCCACGTACTGTACATTTACACACCAGTCACATGAGTGTTATGTTGGATCATTTTTTTCTGTGCCATTGTCAAGAAGCATCACACAACGTCAAACTAAAATGTAATGCCACAACTTATATGTAAAAGAAATTATGGTACGTCCATGTGACGGTGTTTGTTATGCAGCCAATAAAAATCATTTTGTGTAATATTTAATTGTATCCAGTTTACTTAAGCGTATCGAAAAAAATGTGACACCTGAACAGTAATTTTTAACGTTGGAGTTCTTTGGTAAAATTTAAGGTGAAATATTTTCATTTTCAGAGGATCTTTTCCTACTTTTATAAGCACACTTAGCACAAGTTAAAAAATGAATATACAATTTTAAGTTGCCATAAACCTGAAAAGTCACTGCTTCAGATATGTGAGTTCTAAATGTTTGCTGACCACATATGAGTAAAGAATGGTTAGCTTCCTGAGTAACCTAGAGGGTAACCCTGGTACTAGAGGGTCCCCAAAACTGCTTGCTAATAGAATAAATTTTAAACAATTTTTGAGAAATTAGAGTTATGGACACGATTGGAATGTTTGTGTGGGTAAAATATTGAACACTGGGTAAAAGATTGAACATTGAATTATAGAATTTTAAATATAAAAAGAAACCATGGAAATTATCTTGTAAACCTTATTTTGTAAGTGAGAAAACAGAGATTAACTGATTTGCTGAAGGTAACAGAGCAACAGAGCCTTCTGTAACAATACTAGTATCCAACATTTATTAATTAGTGTATTAAGCTCAAGAATAACTCATTTAATCCTATCAACAATTCAATGAGATTTGTTATCCTTTCATTCTACAGGTAGGGAAACTGAGGCAAAAACATACAGCTGACAGACAACTGAGCCAGCATTTGAACCCAAGCAGTATGGCTCTGAAATTCATGACCTTAGCCTTTATGCTGTATTGCCTATTCTGTGTTGCCTACACTATATCATAGCCATTTTTTTTTTTTTTTAATGTTTATTCCCAAGAGAGCAAGCGGGGAGTGGCAGAGAGAGAGGGAGCAGCGAATCCTAGGCAGGCTCCATGAGGTCAGTGCAGAGCCTGGTGTGGGGCTCAAACTCATAAACCACGAGATCATGACCTGAGCTGAAATCAAGAGTTGGACGTTTAACTGACTGAGCCACCCAGGCGCCCCTCCACATCATAGCCATTTTTGGATCACACTGTATGTGAAAGATGAGCCAGTAGATCCTGTCAGTTGTGAAATGTATTAAAATGCTATGTACAAGTTTATGAAGTGGAAATGGAGTTGCTAAATCACAAGAATTTAATTGAAATTTCACAGGGCTCTAGAGCTTAGACTTTGGACATCTAGAATTATCATCCTACCTCTAAAACGACTCTGCACAAATCATCCCAGAAAAATTATCTGTCTTCCCCTTTCCTTGTTCACTGCAACAACCTACGTGACACATTATTACAGCTTTACGGAACTTTTTGATCTCTAAAGTCTGGAAGTACATCCCAATGATTAACCCAAGACCATTTTATGGTTTAAAATTATTGTCTCATCTTCAAGGCAGGAAAATTCTACCATAAGTCCACACACACATGTACACATTATTACTGCATAAGAAACCACCCTAGAAATAGTTCTTTAAAACCATTTTATGTACTCTCAATTCTATACATCAGTGATTTCGACTGGCCTTGTCTGGGATCATGCATATAGTCATCTGGCATCTTAACTGGGCACACTCCTGACTGGTTGTGGGTATTGATTATTGTCTGTACTTACCCCCTAGCCTTTCTTCCTCGAGATTAGCCTGGGCTTCTTCATATGTAGGCAGCATGTCAGGCAGGTACAAACAGGAAGCTATAAGACCTCTTGCAGAAGTTACATGATCTCACTTCTACCACATTCTATTAGTCAGAGTAGATCAAAAGGACAGCAGAGAGTCCCCTCTTGATGGGAAGAACAGCAAAGTCCCATTTCAAAAGGACATGCATATAGGAATGGGAGAATTATTGTGAAGATCTTTGTATACACTCACAGATCATTTCAAGAATGATACTAGCTAAAGCTGCTGAATTTTTTTAATGCTGTATGATTCCTTTAAGAATAGCAACACAAGGGGTACCTGGGTGGCTCAGTCGGTTAAGCGTCCGACTTCAGCTCAGGTCATGATCTCACGGTCCGTGGGTTCAAGCCCCGCGTCAGGCTCTGTGCTGACAGCTCAGAGCCTGGAGCCTGCTTCAGATTCTGTGATTCCTTCT